CAACTATATGGGTTTGAATTGATCTACTATTAAAAATCAATATCCACTTTTACGTATAATGATTTATTTGATCAGTTAAAAAGGGCTTTAGTCTTCTTTAAAATTGTTTTGTAGTTAGAGCACTATCGAGTTAGTAATCAAAGAGGAGGATGTGAAGAAGATGATATTCAAGACCGGGTATGGATCTTATGAGTTTTTGGTCATGCCTTATGGTTTGACCAATGCTCCCATAATTTTCATGGACTTAATGAACAAAGTGTTTCTTGAGTACTTGGATAGCTTCGTTATTATTTTTATTAATGACATTTTTATTTATTCCAAGAGTAAGGAAGAGTATTTGAAGCAATTGGGAATAGTTTTACAAACTTTAAGAGAGCACAAACTGTATGCAAAATTTAAAAATTTTACTTTTTAGTTAGAGCAAGTGTTGTTTCTTGGTCATATGATAACTAAAGATGGAATTATGGTAGATTTGAGCAAGGTTGAGGTAGTGTAAAGGTGGAAGCAACCAAAGAATGAGTTAGAAGTGAGAATTTTTCTAAGTATGGCTAGTTGCTATCGAATGTTTATTTAAGTTAATAAGGAAGAATGTAAAATTTGAATGAGATGATGAATGTGAGAATATTTTTTAAGAGTTAAAGTTTATATTAATGATGACTCCTATTTTGGCTCTTCCATTGGATAATGAGATTTTTATGGTCCATATTGATGCATCGAAGAAAAGGCTTGGACCAGTGTCAATGCAAGAAGGAAAGGTGACGACTTATGCTTCAAGGCAAATAAAGGATTATGAAAAGAATCATTCCATTTATGATTTGAAGTTAGCTACTTTTATAAAGTTAGGTGTGAGATCTACACAAATCATAAGAGTCTTATGTATTTTTTTTTTACTAAAAAAAAGTTGAACATGAGGCAAAAAAAATGGCTTAAGGTATTGGAGGACTACGATCTTGTTCTTCGGTACCACCTCGGTAAAGCTATTGTTTCGCTAATGTTTTAAGTTAAAAATCTTGGTCGGCTTTATAAGTGGCATAAACATGAATTTTAAGAGACCTAGAGAAGTTTTAGTTGGAAATAGTGAGGAAGGATGGTGATAGTAAATTGTTCACTTTAGTGATGGGACCCAACTTAAGGTAAATGATTAAGAAATGGCAACTTCTAAATGATAATTTGACCAAAGTGAAGAAAAAAGTAGAAAAAGGGGAGAAAGCTCAATTTTATGGTAGATGATGGAGGAGTTTTGAGATATCAAGGTAAGTTGTATGTTCCTACAATTAAGGATTTGAAGAAAGGCATATTAAAGGAGGCTCTCGTTACATTTTATATAATACATATAAAAGGCACAAAAATGTATAAAGATTTGAATCATATTTATTAGTGGAAATGGTTCAAGAGCGTTGTTGTTGAAACTATTTCTAAGTATTTGACATGTCGACGAGGTTAAAATAGAACATCGAAGGCCATTAGGTTTATTGAAATTGTTAGCAATACTAGAGTGGAAATGGAAGCACATCCTTATGGATTTTGTAATTGAGTTGCCAAGGTCGAAATAGGATTAAATGTAATTTAGGTGATTATGGATATAATGACTAAGTCAAAAATATTTTTAGCTAGTAAAGGCTACTTGTACCATGACTCGAGTGCTAAGTTGTACATTAAAAAGATATTGATGTTGCATGTGATTTTAGTATTAGTTGTGTTAGATCGCGATCCTAGGTTCACTTTGAATTTCGAGTATCGGTTGTACATTAAAAAATATTGAGCTTACATATGATTTCAAAATTAATTAGATAGGCATAAAAATATAACACACAACTAGAAATTTCATTCACACATGAATTCAAACTTTAATCATAGGATTTTCCTAGCAAAGTTCCCAAATTATTACAAAGCAATGCAATATCAAAGGTCTAGAAAATCACTTTGAGTGGGTCAAAAAAGAAGAAAAGAGTCGCCATCTATTATCGGGAAACTAGGAAACCCAAATGACTAGTCTACACAGGATCTTAGGTAAAGAGTTGATTATGGATAGGGAAAATTGAAATTACCGGTATAACATCTTATTAGAAGTAGATCGCATTATATGCATGCTGAATGTTAATTTCTAGTTTTACTATACTATAAGTCCACTCCAATTTGAATGCATTTGTCTTATTAAAATAGGTCAATCGATTAATTTGAGACTTAAGTCTGGTCAAAGACTTATTTCTATACTCAAAAATAAAAGAAAGAAATATATAAGATGGTGAGTCACTAATGGCTTCGAGATCACAACAAAATTGGCAAGGTACTAATGGTTTTGGGCTTACGATAGAAAATTGGTAAGCCATTAATAATTTCAAGCCTATAACAAAATCAATTGGCAAGTCACTTATAGCTTCAAGCCTACAAAAAAAATTGATGAGCCATTAATGACTTCGAGCCCATGACACAATTGGTGATCCATTGATGACTTCAAGCCCACAACACAATTAGTGAGCTATTAATAGCTTCGATCCCAAAACACAATCAATTGGTGAGTCACTAATAGCTTTGAGCCTATAACACACAATTAATGAGTTACTAATGGCTTCAAGCCTATAATACAATCCATTGGTGAGCCACTAATGACTATGAGTCGGTAACACAAAATTTGTAAACCAAAAATGGTTGTCGACCCATAACATAAATTAGCAAGTCATTAATAGTCGGGAGCTCATGACATAAAAATTAGTGAGCCACTAATGACTTTAAGCCCATAAAACACGATTCATGAGCCAATACGCATAAAATTAATGAGTCACAAATGGTTTCAAGCATACAACACACGAGATTGGCAAGCCACTAATTGCTTCAATCTTATGACACTCAAAACTTATCATGTACACACATCACATTTAGCTATACAAAACAAGATGTCAACCTTCGAGGTTAACACTTGGTCACTTTATTATATACAAACATCACATTTTTAATCAATCATAAATAAGATTTTAACTTTTAGGATCAACATCAACCAATTCATTACATTTATAACATCACATTTGATTAATTACATCATATAGACAATGTAACATGAATTGACTACACAACACGAACAAACCAACTCAAGCATTGCATTTGGTCAATTATATCAAAATAATACAACATGCTTAACTATGTACACTAGGATTGGTACTTATATTGGATAAAATATTTGAATTAAATCTCATGTCTAGTCCTCTCAGCTCTATAATAGAGCATTGACATTGACCTTATTTTTACCTAAGATACTCGGGGTTTCGGACCTTTTTCAAGTTTGATAGACAACAACATATCTAAATCAAAGTTCAAAAATCCATCAATTCATAATCTCGCTATAATAATCCCATTTTTTACCCCTTGATTTATTTCCATACAAATTAAAATTAAAAAAATAAAAAATAAAAAATAAAAAATTAAGAAGATGATTTTTTACCAAGTTGAAAATGATGTGAAAGTGAGGACTAAACAATATTCAAATAAGGATGTAATTAGAGAAGATAAAATTCAAAGAACTTGATTTTGAATTAATTTGTGTGAAAATAAAAAAAAATCAAGAGAAGAGAGATTAAACAATTTCAATTAAGGAGCTAATTAGAAAAAAATGATGAAACATACGTTGAAACCGAGAAAATAATCCAAACAATGGCCTAAATTGATTTTATCTCAAATCCTAAAAAGTTCATATATAAACAATTTTCCTTCTTTTTTGGGAGAGCCCCCATAATTATTACCCTACCTAAAGCAAGAAAAAAAAAACCCTAGCCTCCCATTCATCTTTCTACCTAAGAAAAAAACTTAGCCTCCATCACCCATCTACCAATAAAAAAACAATCTAGCTTGCACAACTATTTTGCTACATAAAATAATTTAGCTAAAATACTCATCAATTTCACCCATAAAAAAGAACAAAAATGTTGAAAGTTTATTATTTATCATCTCTCAAAAAAAATTTATAAGGTTTAAATCCCAAGAGAACAAAAAAAACCAAAAAAACAAAAAAGGAAAAAAAGGCTACCAAAAAGCCCCTAGAAAGAGCTATCGACCGAGGTCATCGTAGGTCAACCTATAGACCCATCGACATTTTCTCCCTTAAATCAGCCATCTTTCAACCAAAATTACTTCAATAAACAACCATAAATCAATAGCCCATCACTAGATCCGTCATTTTCAACTAGTTAGGAAAGAAGAGGTCGTTGAAGGGGGAGAAATCAATGAGAGAAGATCGATGACCCAACCTAGTTGTGTACTAGTTATTATCATTGTTTTCTAGCCAAACCAATAACCCCTACCTCTACAAAAGTGTCCTTAATCCTTTTATAAGTTTTCCTCCTATAAATCATGGTAAAAACTCACAAAAATTAGCTTAATCGAATGGAAAAGGAACTGATCAACTTGTTTACCAGCTTCTTCCAAAGCTAGCCAAATCTTCTCGATCCGACCAAACCGAGCCTCTTACATTATCATGGTTAAAAGCTCCATCGAGAAGAGAGGGAGAAACAATCGAACCTTCAACCATACTAATTTTCCTCCCCCTCCTTCTTTGATGCCCGCCACTACCAATGGACGATTGGTGTGGACCTCTTCCTCTATGCTAGATGGTCAACATGCTTAAAGGAAATTAGATGGTGATTGAAGCAAGCGACAATAGCACTAGGGTTCCAAGGTGGATTTTTTATAACCTAAAATTTTCCTTTTTTATTTTAGTTTTATTTTTTAGTTTTGTTTTTATTTTATTTTTACTTTATTTTCATTATGAGAATCAAGCTCGAAAAACATAAAAAAGAATACAAATATAAAAACATAAAAAATTAATTATAAAGCTATAATTTAATCAAATAAAATTACAATTAGGGTAATGAGAGGCACAATTAAAGCAAATGGGAAATGTAGGACTTAAATTACAAATACATGAAGCTAATTAAAAAAAAACCTACAGGACCTAATCAAACATTGGAAGCAAATGACAAGACCAATTTAGAATTAGCCTAAATGACCTATTATCCAAGTACTCCCAAGCTTTGGCCAATGCATGCAAGCCGTATACCACCCCATCCTCTAGCCACTATTGATCTCCATCGATGGCCTAAGGGACAAAGCTCCTGCAACCGTAATGACAAATCCCGTGCCTTGCTATAAGCCCTCCGTAACCCATGAAATCCTATAACCGGAGGGATAACAAGCTCTCTTCTAAACCTCCTCGTAACAAAATAGGTCAACCACCCCTGCAATCCAAACTTCTTACACCATCCTACATCCAAACCTCCTACCATTCTTGGGAAAAATCTTACAACCAAGCTCCTATAAAAGACTCATGCAATCCCTATAGCACATGGCTCTTACATTCTTTAACTTACCATCTTGTGATTGTTCTTTTGTTTCCAACAAACTACAAAGCAAAGTACACCATTAGGCACGCCTTAAAAACAAGTTGATTTTTTGCTCTATTTATACAAAAGCTAAGAACTCGCCATTAAGACAATGCATTGGAGGGAATCTTTTTTTCAATATAAATAGGAGGAAAAAAATCATTAAGGGGGTAGAAAGCAATTTTAAGGAATTCGGAAAGAATTGAGGAGAATTAGAGAGGCAATTAGGTTTAAGAATAGTCTAGTTTTATATAGGGAAACATAAACATAGCTAAAATAATTAAAGAGAGAAAAGGTTTAGGAAGATAGAAACAATTGAGAGGGATAATTGACATGCCCATTAGAAATAAATGAATTGCAAAGTAAGAGACTTGGCCTACTTACCAAACTATTGAAAGAAGGATAAACTAGGTTTAACATCATCAAATCAACCCCTATAGCTCTAGGGTTTGAAAGGACTTGGCTTCATAATTTAGAGCAACCACTACCTACTACCACTATACATCCTTACTTAAGTTCTCTTAAGTAGACACTTAGAGTAAGACTTTTTTTCAATTGGTAGTGCTATTTGCATCAATAATCCCTTAACGACTCTAAAAAAAAGATCACAATGATATTCATCACTATATCATCGCCATCCCATAAAAATCCCTATCCATTTCAATTCCACATACCCTTACAATCATTTTACGAGTAATCACTACCTATTATTCAATCTCACACACCCTCACACTATGATTGATGGACAAAGAATGATTAGGATGAATCTAGAAGGTTGGGTTATAGGATTATTAGGTCAATTGTAGGTATAGGTTTAGCATTTAGGTTTAAATCAAGACATTAATTGTGATTTATGGCTGGATTAAGGTAGGAAAAGATCTAGGGTTTTTAGAATCGACAAGATAAAGAGGAAATTGGTTAAGATTTAGGCTAATTTTAAGGAAGAGGCAGATTGAGGATTTTATTTCTAAGAAGATTTAAGCTTTAATTAAATATTTGGACTAGGTAGAGACTAGATCAAGATGCGGGGTTTTGGGTTGTAAGAGGAAGTTAGGAATCGAACATTTTTTCTAAGGGATGGATTTCAAAAGTGTGAAATTGGTTGATCTTGCAAAGATTTAGAAAGATTTGGGAAGTCGAAATGAAGAAAGGAAAGAAAGGCACAATGAATTAGGGGTTCGTTTTCAAACAAAAATGGGAGTTTATCTCATTTTCTTGAAAAAGAAAAAAGAAAATTGATTTAGATGAATGAGAACATGATGGATTGACTAGGGAAAACTTATAGAGAACGAGAGAGATATAAGGTTTCGGGTTTATTTAGGAAGGACGAAGGATATGGGAAATAAGAGAGAAAAAGAAAAGGAAGGATTATTTGATCCAAAATGAATTAGGAATAAGAGGGGAAATGGTTAAGAAAAGGGAAAGCTAGGAAGGGAAAAAATGAAAAGAGTGGGTTGGGCCCGTAAAGCACTACCAATCCAGCCCAAACTCAAAAAAAAAAAAAAGATTGAGAGAGAGAGAGAGAGAGAGAGAGAGAGAGAGTCCGTCCGGCCTAGTGGGCTTAACCCAATGGGTCAAGGGCGCACTAAACCCAAAAAAGCCTAATACTCTAATTTTAAGTTTTTTTTTCATATAAATTAACCTTAAATTTTTCTTATTATGTATTTTTTATTTTATTTTAATTTTTTAATTTCCTAGAATTTATGTAATTAATGTTTAATTTTAGGATTTATTTTAATAAGTAGGTTAGGTAAATAGTAGGTAGATAAATTTTTGAGTCTTCTAATTTTTAGGGATCGATGGTAATTTCTCACTACTAAATTAAAAAGAAAAAGAAAGAAAGAAGAGTTAGGAAAAAAAAAGAAATGCTAAGAAAAGAGAAATAGAAAAAGGGAAATGACAAAAAAATGGTAAAGGAAAAAGAAAACAAAGAAGAAGAACAAAACGAGAAAAAGAAAAGAGAGAGAGAGAGAGAGAGAGAGAGAAGGCTAGGTAAGGATAAAACTTAAAAAAAAACAGAGAGAGAGAGAGAGAGAGAAAATATATCGAAAATACTAAGTAAAAATTTAATATCTAACAGGAATGATATTAACTCGGATTAATCATATCTTAGCAATTAGGTCATTCCTTGACATATCGGATATGTTAAGTCTTAAAATGGATCCAATGTTGATATGTCTCTTATCGAAGTTTCGACAATTGGTTCAACGAGATGTAACCAAAAAAAAAAAAAAAGTTTGATATTAGAAATAAAGCTTAGAATTTTGACTAGGATTAACTTTTGGAAAAAATAGAAAATTTTAGGAGATAAATTTTAGGACTAAGCAAGACATGATACCTTTCTAAGAAAATGACGTTTTTGGGTAATTAATGTCTTCTAAAAAACGTAACAAACTCCTTACCCTAAAATCTTTAAACTAGTGCCCATTTTAGGTTTGTAGTTTCATTAATACTAATTGACAACTCCCAAAATCAATAATAATTTACATCCCTATAATAAATATTAAATAATTGAAATAGAACTATTAAATATAAAATTTCAAGAGTCCAACGAAAGTTGAGTAGCGACAAAATGATGACTCTACTAAGGAATTAGAGTTAGGCCATAGGTTTTTTTTTTTTTTTGAAGTTTATTTCCTTTATTTATTTTTTCCATCTAGTTTTCAAAGTCTTTTATTTAATTCTTATATATATTTTAAATCTTTTAACTTATATAATTTATTTTTCTCCCATTCATGTATATATTTTATATCATGAATTGGGTGGATATGTTTTGAACTATTTCACACACTATGAAAAAAAGCTTACAAAAGCTTTGGCCTCGATTTAAAACCCTAATAGGATTTAGACGAGAGAAATTCAAAGGTAAGTATGATGACGGTCTACCGATACTCTTTCGGACTCTCATTTGAACTGAAACTCACCCTATGTATTGAAAATGGTGAAATAACCTTCCTCTATCTCCTAGTGTATATTATTAGAGGCTGGATTGTTCTACTAGTGATTTAGACAATCTAGAAACTTAAAAAGATTTTTGGATTAGATAAGTTTTGCTTACATCCAAGAAAAGCTAGATCTTATCCATTAAGGTTGATGTCACGACCTCGATAATAGGCCGTGATGGATGCAAGGATCGAATGGATCGTGAGGTCCACTTCGGCCCAAAACCTCGATCTAAGTAAGCCTCGAATACTAATCTAAAACCTTAAATCATGATCGAGTTATCGTCGAAGCCCTCAATTCTATATCACTCAAATTATCATTAAATATCAATATAATCACAACTTAATAAGCATTTCTTCAACATTAACACATCTCATAAATTCCATTCAATTCTCATTTCAATATCCAAGATCAACATTTTTAATCAAATTTTAATACTCTACCCATAATTATAATTGCAGAGCATCTAAGATAAAGCAAATCAAAACATATATAAGTTCTAAGCATTACAATGAAGGTAAGTCATATGACCAAAGTGTCGACTTCACAAAAAGTAGCCAAAAAGAAATAATAGTTAATCCCTCAATATCCTGCAAAACTAAAATGAGGGATGAACAAACCATGATTCGAGTGAGTAGACATTATATAATATATTAAGGAAGGAAAACAAACTATGAATGATGTTCTTAAAGCTATGTCAAAATGCAATGCTTATTCCTTAGAACACATGCATATCGAAATCGAAAAGACACTTCATATCACAAATCAAATGGTTCAAAACCATTTCATATAAAATAATCAAGCATTTATTCGGACATACTCATACAAAAAATATATATAGGTTTTATACACCCATGGGGTAATAACGTATCATTGGGAGTGAACACCCAAAGGTCACGCCCCTCATGACTAGGTTTTTGAATGTTGGGCGACATACGATCTAACACTACACTTCTCTTGCTAGATGGAGCCTTGTATCATTGATCTCAAAGGCTACCCCTCGGTAGCTAGGTTCCCCAAGGTCTTAAAAACATTTCGAAAACCAAATGTATTTATACATTTTCAAACCAGATATTTTAAATATCATGCATGCATTTTCATAAAATACATATATACATAAAATAGCGAACATAATTTATACATATTCAAATCGAAGACATATACCAAACCATTCAATTCCTATGAAATCATTTGAATACGAAATTATTTCAAATATTCATTATGTTCGTTTCCATCTAGGTTACGAGGGAATGCTTCTAAAACATTAATAAACCAATGATGCATGATAGATAAATTTCAAGAACTTTAAAACATAGTACACAATATAATATCCACTCACGAGTACAATTGAAAAACTCGAACAAAATTAAGGTTATGATGGGGTTGCCTACTTCGAAGAATCCGACATCACAAATGATGAGGCATCCATCAATATTGTATCTCAAGAAATAATTCAAAACAATGAAATCAAATATATAAGATTATCGAACAAAATGGAATTGATTAGGAAGATTCGATCCGATAATCTAACTAAATCCTATAATCCTTTAATTGATTCTAATACATAGCTCACTAAATCTCATCATCACTAATTCATAATTTAATCATGAATTTCCAATTCAAATGATCCATTACATTCTAATTTACCAAATACTCATTCCATTAATCTTGAATTGCATGTACATAGCTTAATTTCTCATTTTCCCTAATTTTCTTTCTAATTAAAACCTAAATTCGGATTCATCACTATTCATCATTTTCAATCTCTCAATTTCTCAAATCCATTCAATTTTACTTCAAATTAACTCCTTAATTCACTTGCATAATACAATTAAACATTAATTAAACATCTAGGATCACTTAATCAAAAATTTCCCTAAATAGGTCTCAAGAACCCTAACCTCAATCTAAGTAATTCCTTAAGCAAATCATTAACCCAAAGTAGTTTCAGTTCAATATGA